TCAACATAGAGAGACGGAGAAATCACCTGGGACGAATACAAAACCTGCGAAACTGGATCTTCTCCAGACCTCTGAACTGTCCCACAGTGGGTCTGGATCTCCTCCAGATCTCTCAAAACTTCTTCTTCGTGGCTTTCAACTCCGCCTTCTCCCAAGAAGAGAGATGAAAATTCCAAACGCAGAGAGGACACCGAGGGAGAGAGAGAGAGAGAGAGAGAGAGAGCAGCCGGAGAGGTGAATAACAAAAGGCGAGAGAGTAACATGCCAAAGAGAAGCAAAGTTTTCTTTAAGCACCAAGCTGAAGAAAAAGAAAAGAAACAGATCCTCTCAATTAATTAATGCCTTAGCCTGCACAAAACAGTAATAGCCTCTCTCAGCGTCGAACAACGCAAGGACTTTCCAAGGCCTCCCAGAGACAACAAAACCCGGTCTTTTCAGACAGTAGAGAAAAAGCATGTCAAGGTATCTCTCTGTATCCAGGAAACCCTTTTCTGTTTCTCGAACAACCCACCTCCCCACTGTCCAGGCATGTCAATCTCATCCACACATCCACAAACCCGCCAGATCTCCCACCGCTCAATGATCCCTCCCCAGCAGAACACCCAAAGCAACTGAATAAGCCTCGGTCCACGCACCCGCCTGGGCCAAAGCAGCATATAGATCTCTGATGACGAACGCGCGTCAGAGCCACCAAACGACCCCAATGCAGAGATACTGAGCAACACAACTCCTTTCAATCAACTTTTCAGTCCCTCTCATGACCCACCATCTCTGAGCTATCCCATCTCCCAGCACAGTCTCTCCCAAACCCGCCAGATCTCCCACCACTCAACGATCCCTACCCAGCAGAACACCCACAGAGTAACCGAAAAATCCTCGATCCGCGTGCCCGCTCGGGCCAAAGTCAAATATCGATCTCTGATGACCAACGCGCGCCGGGGCCACCAAACGACCGCAACTAAGGCCAACCAGAAGCCAACGACCAGTCCCACACCGACCGAGACCCCAGAGCCCGCCAAATCCCACGCCAGATCCCAATGAGGCCTCACCCAACTCCAGCCCACACCGAAGGACACGCTAGTTTGAAACAGTAAATCTCAGTCACGTTGTACAGTAAAAGGTGTCTGCGTGTACAGTACACCGGCATGCGGCGGGTTTCTTTCTTTCAATGAGACAAAATGGTTAGATATCGAATCCGATCCGAATGTAACGTATCATGGTAGCTAGCTAGCTAGCTAGTGCAGATCGAAGAGATGAGAGATCCAGCACTGCACAGACAGACAGAGTGCATGGGACGACAACGATGACGAAGACAAGAGATGATAGCATCTTTTTGTTTGCTATCTATATATAATGACAACAAAAGTTTGCAGAAATAATAAGAAAATTGAAATGCTCGATTCTGCTGCTGCTGCTGAGATAAATGAGTCAGTTGTACTGCAGAAGAAGGAAGAAGAGATAATAGCTACGTCGCTTGTGACCAGAGGTCGTATGAAATGTCCTTCGGACAACCCTCATCGCAGTGTTGAAAGGAAATTTGCAATGAGCTGCATGAAAAATACTCTTTAATATTGATTCATTGACAAAATCGTGAATTATATGATAAGATATATTTAGATTAATACCATATGAATGTATTTGCCAAGTTTAATATGAGAAATATGTTGTGGACATTGTAAATGGTCTAAATTGTGCTTACAATATTTATTAATAAAAAAAACTTCAAATCCACCTTATACAAAAAATTTGGCTACACCACTTCCACGGTTAGTTATATTGAAGAAAAAAAAAGTACTGTGGGTGTTTGTTGCTGCAGGCCAGCAGGTATGAATTTTTTTTATATATTAACAGCATAAATTAAATAACAAATTAGTGAAAGTGAGAGTGTTGAGGGTTACCTTAATTATCTGGATCGATCTAGCTAATGGTTGTCGATCTGAATTCAGGCCCAGAAACACAGTGCTGCCGGACGAGGGTTTCGATCATCCAACCGTTCTGCTAACTGGAGTTCACGATGAGAGAATAAACAGTAATAATAATAATAACAATTGTATTCCTTAATTAACTGTTATACTAGTTTTTTGGCCCGCGCTCCGCCGCGGTAAGAAACTAACGATTTAGTTGAAATCAAATAATAACAAAATTATTCATATAAGATATATACATAAATTGCATGTAGTGTTCGAATTATTATAAATAACATGAGTCATTCGTTATGAAAGACTTAAAATTGATAAATACAAAATAATTATTTGTCTGTAAGCTTTACGTAGTGTCATAGCCATTAAGGAAGACTCATGTAACTATTATAGAACATTGTTACATAAATCTTTCATAATCTGTGGTCTAATAATAAAATCAAGTTATAGTAAGTAACATGATGAATCTGTGATTTATGTAACTTTTAGAGAACGTTGCTACATAAATCTTTCATAATGTTTGGTCTAATCACAAAATATAATTTTAAAAAGTAACATATGATTAAACTGTTATGTCAAAGTTAACTAATCAGGAGCTCATGGTAAAATTGGATGTAGGAGATAAAGAACAATTATAAAATGTTGTTACATAAATATTTTATAGTGTGTGGCTAATAATAAAATCAAATTTTAGAAAATAACGTATGAGAAAACTGCTTTGTCAAAGTTAATAATCATGAGCTTATGGTAAAATTGGATATAGGAGATAAAAAAACTGTTATAGAACGTTCTTACATAAATATGTTATAGTGTGTGGTCTAATAATAAAAATCAAATTTTAGAAAATAAAGTATGATTAAAATCTTTCATAATGTCTGGTCTAATAATAAAAATCAAATTTTAGAAAATAAAGTATGATTAAAATCTTTCATAATGGGTGGTCTAATGACAAAATAAAATTTTAAAAAGTAACATATAATTAAACTGTTATTGCAAAGTTAACTAACTGTTATGTCAAAGTTAACTAATCATGAGTTTATGGTAAAATTGGATGTAGGAGATTAAAAATTATTACATAATGTTATTACATAAATATTTTATAGTGTGTGGTGTAACAATATGATTAAATTATTATGTGAAAGTTAACTAATCATGAGCTTATAGTAATATTGGATGTATGAGATAAAAAACTGTTATAGAACGTTATTACATAAAAAATTTATAGTGTGGTTTAAATAACAAAATCAAACTTTACTAAGTGACGTATGATGAAACTAATATGTCAAAGTTAACTAATCATGAGCTATCATAAAATTGGATGCAGGAGATTAAATTTTTTTATAGAACGTGCATAAATATTTTATAGTGTGCGACATAATAATAAAATTAAATTTTAGAAAGTAACGTATGATTAATCTGTTATATCAAAGTTAACTAATCACGAGCTTATGATAAAATTGAAGGTAAAAAATAAATAACTATTATAGAACGTTGTTACATAAATATTTTATAGTGTGCGGTCTAATAATAATATCAAATTTTAGAAACTAAAGTATGATTTATGTGTTATGTCAAAGTTAACTAATCATGAGCTTATGATAAAATTGGATGTAGGAGATAAAAAAACAATTATAGAACATTGTTAGATATATATTTTATAGGGTGCGTTCTAATAATACGTTTATATATGCATAAGAAATAACTATCGTACCATAAACTTTACGTAATGTATAATAATTAATATGGTTCCACAATTTTTACATATGCTAAACTAATATTATGTAAATACATAATAAGCATTGTAACGCACAATGGTTATCTATGCTAAACTAATATTAGTATATATAAAAAGCATTGTAACTTAATAATGAAAATATTTTTAAAAAGCTTTGAAAGTTAATGATGCGACGGTTATAATAAGGGACAAACAAAGTTAACTAATCATGAGCTTATGGTAAAATTGGATGTAGGAGATAACAAAATTGTTATAGAACATTGTTACATAAATATTTTATAGTGTGTGGTCTAATAATAAAAATCAAATTTTAGAAAATAAAGTACGATTTAAATCTTTCATAATGTGCGATCTAATAACAAAATATAATTTTAAAAAGTAACTAACTGTTTTGATTAAACTGTTATTGCAAAGTTAACTAACTGTTATGCCAAAGTTAACTAATCATGAGCTTATAGTAAGATTGGATGTAGGAGACACAAAAACTATTATAGAATGTTATTACATAGATATTTTATAATGTATGGTCTAATAATAAAATCGAATTTTAGAAAGTAACGTATGATTTAACTATTATGCCAAAATTAACTAATTATGAGCTTATGGTAAAATTGGATATAGGAGATAAAGAAACTATTATAGAATGTTGTTACATAGATATTTTATAGTGTGTGGGGTAATAATAACATCAAATTTTAGAAAGTAACGTATGAATAATCGAGGAATTTTACAATGTTATATAGCATTGGTGCTATAGGTTTTTACCTTTATGGTATAACTTGAAATTTTACATTTAATGTTATGGTACAACTTCATATTGTACCTATACTTTTTGTACAAATTCTTTTATGGTACAACTTAAACTTGTACCTTATATGATGGTACAACTTCAAGTTGTAAAATTGTACCATAACATAATGATACAAATTCTTTTATGGTACAAGCTAAACTTATACATTTAATGTTATGGTACAACTTCAAGTTGTACATTAAAGCACCAATACTATATAGTATAGTAGAAGTGCTCATGAATAATCTGTTATGTGAAAGTTAACTAATCATGAGCTTATAATAAAATTGAATGTAGAAGATTAAAGAAACTATTATAGAACATTGTTACATAAATATTTTATAGTGTGTGGTCTAATAATAACATCAAATTTAAGAAATTAACGTATGATTTAAGTGTTAAATCAAAGTTAACTAATCATTAACTTATGGTAAAATTGGATGTAGGAGATAAAAAAAACTATTATAGAACATTGTGACATATATATTTCATAGTGTGCTGTCTAATAATACGTTTATATATGCATAAGAAACAACTATTGTACCATAAACTTTATGTAATATGCTAAACTATATTACGTATATATAAAGCATTGTAACTTAGTAATGAAAAGCTTTAGAAAAGCGTTGAAAGTTAATGATGGGATGGTAATAATAAGGGACAAACATATTAGAATTCTGGTTCCTAAAAATTGCTACCGTGGGCGCTATCACAGCGGATTCAAGTACATCATGCAACATGTGAACAGTAACCCGGAATTAGAGTTACTAAAATTAAACATGCTAAAACGTAACATCGTAAGGAACAGTGAAAATAATTAATAGGTTGCTTACGCTTTTAATTATTTAATTAATGGTTGTTTAAAAAGAAGAAAGGGACGGAAATAATGAGTGATAACAAATTGACCCAAGAAGAAGGAAAAGAGGACTGGAATTTGTGGTGGATTCGGCCACACTTAATTATATCACTAATGAACAGTATTTGGGGAGAAATTTTCGTGAGGAACAGTATAATTACTTCCGGCATACTTGTGCCTTTAATATATTTATTTATTTATAATGAGTGATAACAAATTGACCCAAGAAGAAGGAAAAGAGGACTGGAATTTGTGGTGGATTCGGCCACACTTAATTATATCACTAATGAACAGTATTTGGGGAGAAATTTTCGTGAGGAACAGTATAATTACTTCCGGCATACTTGTGTCTTTAATATATTTATTTATTATATTAATTATAGGAAAACAAAAATCTCGACAATGAACTAGCTAGGACTTAATTCCGACCACATTAAAAAAAACATATACATAGGATGTTGAGACAAATACCAAAATAGAAACCTTTTTTCGGTTCCGAAAAGAAAAAACAGAAAGTGAACTAATTCATTTATAGAGCGAAGGAGTATTGTGGTGGTGGATGAAGTGAAGTGATGAAGGATGATGATATATGATATGCATGGCTCCTCATACGCCATCCACGGAGGCCATCGATTCGTCCGGTGGAGCTCTCTCCGCAAATGGCATACAGGGAGCCAGGCATGCATCCATCTCGGAATATATGCTTACCAATGTCGGAGAAATGATTCGTTAATTCACTAACCACCTTTCCTACACACACTCCTCGATCGTTGCAGTTATTATGAAAACAGATTCAACCGACGGACGGACGCCCTAAAAAACCGGATCAACAAATGTTCCCGACATGGGATCTGAAGGGGAATCGCAGCACTCATGCCAGCGGCTGAGCGCGAGTTTGATGAGCAAAAAGACCAATGATGGAGAAATGAAAAGACGAGACAAATCGATGGAGGACACGAAATGGAAACCAGGTAAAAAAAAAAAAAGTAGCAAGAAGTAGTAGTTTTGAGTGGTTTGGGAATTCAAAGGTTTATATATCTCACAGCTCCTTGAGAATTGCCACAAAAAACGAGTGAAATCATATTCGCATATGCTTTCTATGGCTTCCTACGAAAGAGGGTTATAACTTATATACCTAATCAGATATAGCCCTTCCTATTCCTTCTCTCTCCTCTCCTTGTTTCTCTCTCCACCATGACCCAAAAATACTACTCCTTGGCTACTACCCAAACCAAAGGAAAGAAAGCCAAGAAGAAGAAGAAGAAGGGGAAGGTTAGTTAGCTAGCTAGGGTTAGGAACATAAGAAGGCAGTGGAATGATGAACAGTACACAACAGTGAGATGAATGAAATGTACTACCAGAAGGCAAAGCAATTCACTTCCCCTACCGACCTAGCTAGCTTTTACCTTAAACCTACAATGGTGGGAAATATGAAAAAGAACAGCTTCCTTTCTTCTGACAGAATGTGAATGAGTGAATGCAATTTCCCCATCTTTCTTTCTGATGGGGTGGTGAGGGCTCGGGGAGGAAGGGCAAAGCAAAGCAAAACGCTTTCCCTTCTCTGCTCTCTAGTCTCTTCTCTTTTTCATTTTTGTCTGCAAGTGCTTGGAACCACATGGTCGTGGATTCTTTCTTCTCTCTCTCCCCCAACCTCTCCTTTTCTTTTCTTCATCATCCCTCTCTTCCTCTTGAAATGAACAAAAAAAAAAGCCTAACAACAATAATGAACATTGAACAGCTTCTCCAGAACCTCTATCTTGTGGAATTTTAAGCATGGTCCATGAAATCGTACCGTTCCGGCGGTTCAATAATGAAATACCAGTATCGAAGGTTAAACCGGTAGGCGGTATTTAACGGTCTAATGGTTGAACTACGGTTAAACTAGGGGTGCCACTTCGGTTACCGCTTATCGGTTAACCGGCAGGTTAACCGATAACTAGCCGATTATCCACTAATCGTTAACCGAAGTAACCGAACTTCAGTCGGTTATCGGAGGGTGGACAAAATGGTATTTAGTCTTAAAAATGGTTCGGTTAACCGATCACCGAGATAACCGAGAAACCGAAGCCTATTTCAGGCGATTTTCGGTAGGGGGAGTGGTTATTTTGGTTAACCAATAACCGGCCGATCGATTACCGGTTATAAATGAAATAACCGAACTGCCACCCATAGGTTAAACCACGGTTTTATCATAAAATATCATACCGCTGACTTTTTCCGATACGATATCGGGTACGATATCATGGACCATGCTTTCAAGACTTGGGTTCAACTGAAACTAAATCAAATCTAAATGTTCCTGATGTCACTGATAAATGAAGTTTTATGCAGTCATTACCACCACCTTTTGATTTAATTATATTGTTGAAAAATCCTACAAAACTCTAACATTATGTACATTCTTCTTTTACCATACATTATATGTCATTTGCATTTGGTTTATTGACCTAAGTTTCTTTTTAAAATAGTTTTTTTCAGGATAATTAAATTATTTTTAACTAAATAATAATTCATATATAGCATTTAGCCCAAGTTGCAGATACAAAAACGTATCGAAACAAACTCATAAAACTTGTCCCTTCCATTGGGTTCTGCACTTATCTAGCGAAAATAGCCCATTCACAGTTGGGCCTAGACCCCACTTGATTCAGCCCACAAATACTTGAAAGTCCAAAACTAGTCCCTAACCTAGGCCCATATTCATACAAGCTCGGCTTCACTATTCATGTCCAATTGAAATTAATCCCTAAAGTTGCGGCCCACTAGTAGTAGCAAACCATACCGTACCGACGGTTTGAGTGTAAAAATAATCTATCCGTACTCGACAGACAATTTTTAACGGTATCAAATGGTTGCACCGCGGATCAATACAATTATACAAAGTAAAATCATACCGCTAACTTTCACATCACAACTTTGCGATACAGTTTCACAATACATCGTTACTTTACATGCCAAGCCTCATTAACTATACCAATATACCATCCTCAAGTCCCCGTAACACCAATTTCTGTATCAGGCTAATGTTATTAACTTATTATGAAACTGGAGCCACCAGGAGGATATGGTTTTGTGTACAAAACAGAATATAAGAACAGTATTACATGGATAGGGCTCACAGAAAGAATGTACTGAATTCAATGCTCTAGTGCAAGAAATCACGTTCTCAAAATATCAACCTCAAATCTCACAATTTCATCCAACAAATTTGATAGACAGGACATGTCAGCCCGTTCACTTGGATTCTCCCTGAGAGCAACCTCAGCAACATCTGCAAGTTTGAGCAGAGGCTCCACATTCTTCGGCAGAGCTACGTTCCTGTCTATAATGGCGGCCGACTTCCCCGATCTAATCAAAGGCAAAGCCCACTCCACAATACCAGGAGGATTACACTCCGTATCATAAGCCTTCCTCCCACTCAATATCTCCAGCACCACAATGCCGAAGCTGTACACGTCGTCCTGTTCGGACATTGGATTCTCGCTGCAAGAGTTCGAGAATCCAATGTCCGCGATCCTCGCCCCCCACTCCGAATCCAGGAGCACCTTCGACGTCGTCAAGTTGCCATGAACTATGCTGATTGCAGTCGGCATTTTGGTGTTGTCATCTTCGTTGTCGTCGCAGCTGCCTTTGTGCATGTAGTCGAGGGCACGCGACATCTGCAGAGCGATTCGGAGCCTCGAGCTCCAATCAAGCGGAGAGAGCTCCCCATGGAGATGGTCGTGGAGCGTCCCGTGTGGGATGTACTCGTAGACCAGCAGCCTCTCCCCCATCTCAGCGCAGTAACCCAACAGGTTCACTATGTTGCTGTGTCTCAACCTGCACAGGATCTCGAGCTCCGATTCGAATTCTCGGTTGTTGGTGTGGATTATGGTGGCGGCGTTGGCTCTCTTCACCACGACGTGTCTTCCATCCGACAACACGGCCTTGTAGACGAACCCAAAGCTTCCCCTGCCTAGCTCGTTGAACTCCTTGAACCCGTGGGTAGCATCTTTGAGCTCCGAAAGCCGGAACACTTGAGCCTCTCCGACGTACGAGCCTGTTGAAAGAACAACAGACAGCGGATCTAATTCTGGATTCGCCTGCACCACCACTGGTTTACTTAAGCAGAACATGTAGCAGCAGTTTCTCTTCTTCTTTCCATCCTTAGTACCTCTTCTGAGCTGGAAAATGAGACAACAAGAAGCGAGGAGTAACAAGCAAGCAAGCAGTGGGATGGCAATGATGATAACAAGTTTCTTGATCTGTTTCCGCTCCTGCTGTGAAGTCACTTCTGGTGAAGATGGTTGGCCGCAGATGTCCCAACAAGAGCTGTTCTGGCAGAGCGAGCAAGCAGTGCATAACCTGTCAGCATTCTCTGTACACAGGCTGGAAGGGAAATAGCCATGTGAACAGCTTGTGCCACAAGGCAGACAGATCTTGAGGTCCTTTCTTGCACAGATGCTGGTCAACTCTGGCTCGTTGAGGATGCTTGCATTGAAGGAAAACATACCGTCGGGGCACGATGATGCAGCCAGGGAGCAAGTCCCGGGGCTGCACAGCTGCAGAGGCGGCCTGTAATCCGAAGGAGACTGTCCGTTCGCAACGCTCCAGCAGTCGAGTACCAGATCGGCTTCTCGTATCCCACAGGCGGTGTGATCTGAAGAAGCAATTGCTATTAACCCATAACCGATTGGAACAGAACTTGGATCGACATTTTCCCCCCAACATTCGACTTCATGATTGTCCTCGCGGACTCCACAGAAGTAATCCGCACCGGCTGTTAAGCCCACGAATCTAGTTCCTTTCCTCGGCAGGGAGCTGAATTGGCTGCCATCAGAAGAACCCCAGCACTGAACTTCTCTGGAAGAGCTCGATATCCCACATACAGAGCTTCTTCCTGAGGCCAGAATCTCATAATCACCTGAACTGGTTGGAATCCGCAATTTTCCTGATCTGGGTCCCCAACAAATCACCCCATTTTGTTTGACTACCCCGCAACTAAAGCCATCACCAGCGACTATGTTCTTGAAATTTAGGAGATTCACATAGGAAGTGGAGAATGTATGATCGAGAACCCAACAATCAATTCGACCGTATTCCTCCATCCCAGTGGAGTAGTAAGTCCCTCTGATCGCACAAGCATGATCCTTCCCTGCGGCGATCTGGGAATATGTGCTGTACTGGTAACTTTCCGGGACAAGATTAGTACCTGGATCCGACATCTTGAAGCAGAACGGCTGCGAAGTGTTCGACGTAATGCCGCAGAGAAACTCCTCGCCTCCGGAGAGCGAGGCCATGGGAGGCAAGGGAGCGAAGTGAGCAGTTGACGATGAAGCTGTGAAGTTATCATACTTATCCCAACACAACACCTCCTGCTTCCCTCCAGCATCAATGGCGCAGAAGATCCCGTCGCCGCCGAACGCAGCTGCAACCGGGCCGGAAGATCCGTACCCGGAAACAGCAATCGCCAGCTGCAGAATCAAAACAACACCCACAACCAAAGAGAATGGATCACAGAGACCCATCTTCCAATCTGCCCACTGGGTTTCAAGAAAGAACTCTAATAATGCTCAGCACTCTGGAGAGCTTCATTAAAAAAATGGATTTCGGCAGATTTAATAACTAGCAGTATGGAACGCGTCCATTTAATAACTAGCAAAAATTTTAAAAATGAAGAAAATGAATTTTGTCAGATTGCTCCCCTTGCAACTTGCAAATGACATGTGCAAAGGAAATATTGTCATGCATCCGCCATTGATTCTGGACATGGGCAGACGAGAGGGGAGAACCAGGCTGTATGTCGGGAAGAAGACAGCGCCGGCGGCGGTGTAGGGCTCTTTTCTTTCTTTATTTGAGAGGTATCTAGCTGATAAGACAAACGGCAAGCAACATGGAGCTGCCAAATGGGCTAGTGGGCATCCATTATACGGCTTTGATTATTTGTCGGGGACCGCCATAAGTTTTGATCATCAATCGAATGAATGGATCATTAACGAGGAACCAACCAAATCTTCGATATTTGATACGATCCAAGATTTCATTATCTAACTATAAAAAAGATTTCATTATCTAGTCAAAATTTTCTACAATTGAGTGGGATGGCAAATTATTATATGGCTTGGGTTTTGGTTCAATTTTTTTTTTTTTTTACAAGTTTGGTTCAAAATTTTGACCTGCAAAATCCTACAAAATTCCGATCGTATCATTGTATTACAACCAGAATCTCCGACCTTCAAAATCCCCGGTCATATCATTGCATCACTATTTTTGCAGGCTAGGTTTTTTACCCTATCCGCTCCTTTATTATAATGCATTTTATTCTGTTTTACTTGTCTCGTCGCTAGGGTGACATACTCACATTGTTGGTGAGTAATTCGCGATTTGATGTCGAACTACCCACAAATAATCAAGATCGCAGAGGATGAGTGATTTATGTGGGTTGGATTGTGAATCGATAAATTTTCTATCCACATTTATGAGGTGAATGATAGTTGGGTTGCGGTCACTCGAATGACTCTCACCCCATCTTTGCATGGAAAATAGTTGTTTCTTATATATATATATATATATATATATATATATATATATGCTAACGAATAGTCATCGTATTTTTTAACCGGCCCTACACACTACGCATCGACTTCTAAAAGTGAACAATGAAGAATACTTTTGGGCTGTAAGGAAGTGGTTAAGCACCATACAAGGACCTGTATAAGATCTAACATAACCTTCTCCCAACAACTCGAGTTATTGGGAGCAACTGGTTCATGACATGATATCAGAGCTTGTTTGTCCTTGAGGTCACGTGTTCAAGTCCTCACAACCCCCAATATTAACCGTTGTCTTTCAAGCACATGGTAGGGCTGGGCCTGTGCAAACTTCAAGCCCATGAGTCGGCTTTCGTTTGAGGGGGCGTGTAAGGAAGTGGTTAAGCACCATACACGGACCTGTATAAGATCCAGCATAACCTTCTCCCAACAACTCGAGTTATTGGGAGCAACTGGTTCATGACATGGGCTACTACTATTGGCCACTATGTTGTGTAATGTCCATTACACATTGAGATACAAATTACGAACGATTAATCAGTGTTTGTAAAATCGTGCAGAAGGGTGTACCAGAAAAGTCAGCAGTATGATATTTTATGTTGAAGTTGTAGTTCAACCGTTTCACACCGCTAAAAAGCGCCCATCAGTTTAACCTCCGGTAGGAGGTTTTCCTTAGACAGACTGCCAGTACCGTACGGGTTTACAGACACTGCTATAATTGTATCTAAGTTGCAAAAAAAAAAAAAAACATAAACTTTCTCTACATAATTGGTTGATGAAGTAATCAAATATTTATACAAGTACCAGACATCCACATACGAGACAAATTGACAATAAGTGTATAAATTGATACAGTCTTCCTAATTTGTGAGAAATTTATTATAAATGTTAGTCAATTTGCCTAATTTCTATTTGAAAAATTGCATTTGCGGATTAACCTACAACTTGACTGCACCAATCTGCCACCACCCAAGTAGAGTGTGAGTGAATTGTAGATCACAATTATACCAACTCGCTAGTAAACAGGCAGATCATTTTAATTAAAATCAAAACCCACCCAACTCACCCAATTCGTTGCCACCACTTCAATTCAAACTCTGTTAAAAAAAACTTCAATTCAAACTTCAAAACAGTGAACATTGATTGGACACTAGAAAACCTTATAAGCGAGTAGGGATGGCAACAAAACCCGAACTCACGGGTACCCGACCCAACCCAACCCAGTCAACGCGGGTAAAAATCATGTTGACGGGTTTTGGGTTTAAACCCGTTCACTATTCACCGAGTTGGGTTTGGGTTAGGTAAACTCGTCCCACGGGTACCCGCCCACACCCATATAATTAATTTTCCCAGTATATTTAATATTCTAAACTACTAATATTCTCTATGTTTGTGGAGACATGTCTAATTTTTTCTTTCTAATTGTGTCGAATGAAGTTGATATTATCGAGTGAAGAAGCTTAATTGACAAGGAGGAAGAAGTTTTCAATTAATCATGTCGTTTATGGATAATTTGTGATTTGCTTCAATTTTAATGAGTTTTATAGATTGGTGTTGAACAATTTGTATGATTAATTTGTGATTTACTTGAATTTTCTAGAATGGTGTTTTATATATGGATAATTTGTATTAAGATATTGATATTTGACTTTTATTTTGATGGGAACTTGTTATTGTAATTTTTTTGCGACTAAAACTCATGGGTACCCATGAACCCGCGGATACCCAGCGAGTTGGGTTGGATTTGAGTTTTTCAAACCCAATGGATTTTACCCCGGATTTTTTTTCACGAATAAACCCATAAATTTGGGTTTAAATTTGAGTTTGATTTTGGCAAAATCCGACCCAACCTACACATTGCCATCCTATAAGCGACTGGCGTACAAACCCATTAATGTTAAATGTTTACGTTAATCCAACCCTCGATTGGATCCACTATTGTTCTTTTATCTTACGGACCTCCAAGTCTCCAACCGTGTCTTCCTACGGACTTAAATGTCGAACAACATAGCTAAAAGAACTTTTACTCTATGAAAATGTGTGCATTTGATTCCTTCCTCCACGACTCAAATAGTCAATACCAAAAAAAATGCACAATGTCAATTGTCAACATGCACATGGAAGTGCCACTAAGGACGGAGATAAATAAATCATTAAATTAGCAGAGCTCTTGGATCTGAAACTAACTATATACTACTTCTAACCTAGATTCTGAAGGATCAAATCTTAACTATATATCCGAAAAATGGAACCACTTGAAGGATCAAACTGTTAGTTTATGTATATAGGTAAGGTTAAAAAAATTATTAGTTAAGTGCTCAATAAAATAAGAGAAGGCAAGAGTAGTTTTGACTTTTGACTAAAACAGCTTGTGTTGGGAAAATTGTTCAAGTATATTATTTTTCTTGCAACACAAGCAAACACATAAGATTAAGAAAACATGCAAAGACTCATGCAAGCGCCCTAACCGATAGAATTCACTAGCTCTCCTTAAAAAATTTTATTCCCCTCTAGTACCCAAGGTTATGGAATGATTCCTCCCAGGATAGAAAGGACGTACATTTTCCGGCGTAGCGGTATCTCAAACCCCGGAACCCATCGAACGTAGCGAACCGGCAAAAATCACACTTGACTCGATTTTCTCTTTGAAAAGAATGCATAAAACTAGTTTTCGATTTTAGCAGAGTTTTGGTACCGAAAATATCCATGTAAAAACCAGAGGGGGTTAGGTGCTATTTAAAGAAAATGAAGGGGTGCTTACGAAGGGATGCAACTCTTCGTATGGGTGGTTACACCCCAAACCATTGCATTGGTTCGTTTAAAATATTTCAACCATTGCATTGGTTCGGCCTCATGGAAGTTGGACCGGTTTGGTTATTCCAACCGCCATATCGGTTCGGTTTGAATTGGTTCAACTCGGTTTGGTTCATTTGGTTACACAAACCAATTTAACCAATTAACCACATATTAAATCAAATCGATCGAATTCAAGGTCATGACTTCCCACATCTTACCAACATGGTACTTCAAGAGACTCTTTTGGAACTTTCCTCTTTCATTTCCGTTCACACCACTGAAAAACCCAACAGCTTGTACTGGAGATGTACTCTCATCGACGACTGAATGTGTGTTTCAAAGCAGCTGCAATTTTTAATGCATATATAAAGTTATGAATCAATCTTTAATGCATATATAAAGTTGTGATTGTCAACGACGACATTAGGCTCAATTTGAGGAATGATACAACAAAATGATATGGTGGCTGGCAGCATGTGATTACTCTCAAAATCTGCATATTTGTTTGGGGTTACATGCATGGCAGAAGAAGATACTAAAGCGCCATTGTTGCATGCAGACTGTGTGGGTACCATACAATCAAATGAACATGGTCACTCGTCACTCCGACATGGAAATACAACAGAGTTACTTTGTGCGTTGTGTTAATTTTCTCTCCTGCGGAGAAGCATTCTCTCCTGCAGATATGATCTCCACAGGGACATTGCGCGTTTCACTTTCAATAGGAGCTGATTGGTCATATGATAGAATTGCTGCTACTTGCGCCTGCATCAATTGGGACTTTGTTTGGCAATAACGATAGATGTTTGGAGGCTGTTCAGTACGAAATTGGCTTGGTTGCTAATGAAAATTAAAGTAGATTGTTAGGCATGGAGAGGATTAGGAGGCCCTTTTGTTTCATGTTTCCCTTTTTTGGTGTTGTTGTCTTGTTGGAGGCTTGGAGCATGTTGTGAGTTTATATGTATGAACTTTTATTTTTGTTCCTTAATTATAGTTTATAACACCATTTTAAAATGATATAGGTAACGTAACGAAATTCATATTGATCTTTAAAATATAATAAACGAACAAGGACTTGGCCTAGTGGTAATATCACTGGCCTAGAACCTGTAAATTTCATGTTCGAATCCCTCCAGTAGCACCTTAATCATAAAAAATTAAACCAATATCACCCTTATAAAAAAAACATGCTACATCACTTAATGTAGCCTGTTGGCACCCAACCCAACCTCGCACTTGACAAGTCAATCTCAATCATTCTTAATTAGATCAAGGTGGGTCGTGAGATCGAGAGAAAATGTATACATATAGATATATAATTAGCAATCTTGTCAGAACCGGAGCATGACTCGGTAATCCGAACGACTCGCACTTTAGTGGTCCAACCGGCATTGGACCGTTAGAAAACCGGTACCTAATAAACGTTATCAGTATAAATAGTGGGCATTTCTTAATAAGAGCTCGTCTCTTTCCTTCGAAATTGTGAAATGGAAATAAGGATTCAGTTTGGCCCGACATTTTTGGTTTATTTCAATTTTCAATTTTTTGCAATTTTTTTAATTAAATTTAATGGCTGAAAGGCAAAAATCGGACGAGCGGCTCGATCGGTTAACCGCCTCGGCCGCTCGTCAACTGCTACATAAAACCGGAGCGACTTTTAGACTGTTCCGAGCCGGTTTTGTGACCGGGTGGTGGTTTTACTGGTCGGGCCGAGCGGCTCGACTCGGCTTTAATAACACTGATAATTAGGTATCGATGAGAATTGAATTTTAAACCTTTTCAATATTAGTTAATATTTCTACAACCAAATTACAATTAAACAATGAACATGGTTGTTATCATTTGTATATACAATACAATTTCTAGATTATATATATACGTCATATTATCGTAAAATATAACTTCATCATTTAAATCTCAAATTCTTAATTTTATTCACCTTCTTCCACCGAATACTCATTTTATTAAAACTCGCTAGCTTCCTTTTACCTAATATTGAGTTCTATCATAATGTCTACTAACTATATCAAAAACATTTTAGATTTGATGTGTATCCATCATGATATTAAATTGGAATGATATGTAATTAACTACTTTGACACACTCCCTTGTATAAAATCGCCACTTTCAATTAATTAAAGCAAATAGAATGAGAGCTACTCAGAAATGTTGAAATAGGTAATTTACTAATTTCTTGAAAAAGAAATGAAGGTAATTAATCTTTGATTTGATGGTCCAACGTTCCCACTAAAACGTCAAGTCGTTTCCGCTCCCTTTGCTTACATTTTCTTCCTTGCGGAATTTCCAATCCCGTATACAACTCCTGCGCACAACCCTTTTCCTCCATTGCCAAAATCTCACGTAAAGCCAAGCTCGACCTGGCGAGCCGGAAGGATAAATCTGATCTCCTTCAGCTCTGCTGCTCTTCTTCTTCCAATTACTGCCTCCTGAAACCCTAATTCCTCCATCGTCATGAGTGCTCCCGCCATTTCAGGGGTAAGTACTCCCTTCCGGAGAAAGCACTGTTAGATCTTGATGTTTTTTTCCCGGGGCGAGAATTCTTCCGCATCCAGCTTCTGGCTGTTCTCTACGCCTCAGATCTTGATTATCTCTACTCGATTTCAAGTTTTCAACAGATTTCTTTTCTATCGTGGTGTCTTAGTGGACGTTATTGAGTTTCCGTGCAGGGAACGAGCTTGTTTACTGGCTTCACGCGATTATGCAAGGGTCTCGCCGTGGTCCTCGTCGCCGGCCACATTGTGGTCCAGACTTTGCCTTTCACTGTCAACTACCTCGCCCTCATTCCCGCCAGGTTGAATTGAATGTTCTTGTTTGTCTTCATTTCTCTTCGCTGGCTTGTTTGTTAACCGTTAATTTGAACGACGGCGCTCTGTTGATCGAATTCTTTGCTTGATTAAGTAATTGTCTGAATTCTGTTGCTGATCTCCTCGTCATGAATCTCCCGGTGTGGTTTCTAGAGCATTTTTTTAAGGTCATGATCTAGTTTAGTATAGACTCGGATGATAAGTTGAGTGAAATTTGTTGATGAGGTCAATTTACTGGGAGGGTAGAGAATAACTGGTAATTGTTTGTTATTCATCCCATTTTCGGTTGCAAGTACGCATGCCAACTTCTGTATGCATGAAATGTGTTGATGATGTTCTTATGGTAAAAAATGAATACAACTTAGAATTTTGTAGGAGGTGACAGAGTGTTTAGGTTGTACATACTCCATTGGGGATGGTCTACAGGGTTCATAATTACTCCATTGGAGTAGATCTTTGCTAGACTGGGATCTCTCTTTTGTTCCTAAGCAACGCACTCTGTGATTTTGTTCTATATTATGCATCTCAATTATTATTTATGAACTTAGAAACACCTGGTCATTTGTTCTGGTCTATGGAACTGGAGATCAGCACTTAATCAGATTATCCATGCAAGATTTGAACCCAAATTTTTTTTTTAATAAGGTCTCGACCGTTTGTCATAATGCTGTTGTACTATTGTGTCGGAGTGTTATAACCTGATTTGTGGATAGATTGTTTGATCAACTTCCTGCCCAAAATTTCTCTTTGTAGGACTATACCTTTCGCATGGAACCTCATAACAGCTGGATACATTGAGCAAACAATATATGGAGTATGTTGTCCTTCCTCAAGTTTCTGGAGTTACATTACCTTCTTTAAATCCTACTCATGAGTACATTGATCATGTAGGTGGTTGCCAACACTCTGTGCCTTCTAGTTATGGGGAAGCTGCTTGAACCAGTTTGGGGATCCAAGGAGTTCTTAAAGTTTATTTTCATTGTTAACATCCTGACGTCAGTCTGTGTTTTCATCACTGCCATCACCTTGTACTACATTACAACCAAGGAAACTTACCTGTAAGTATATGTTCCACTTGTGTGATTCACTTTTCTTCCGCTGGTGGTAATTGACTTCTTTTCTTCCGTTGTTGCTAAATTGATTGGTTACTCTTGTTTCTAGTTACATGCCTGTATCGGGTTTTCAAGGAGTGGTGTCCGGTTTCTTAGTTGGCATGAAGCAAATTATACCTGACCAAGAGCTATCTGTGTTGAGAATAAAGGCTAAGGTACGGAGCCTTCAGTTCTTCTTCCTTCAGACTAGTCACTGGCTTACTGCAAAGCTGAGGACTGGGGTGGGGAGATATGTCCGATTCAATCAACTGACTGGTGTTACCTTTTCTACAGTGGTTCCCATCTATAATGCTGTTGCTGTCAATTGCCGCCAGCTTCTTCACAGAGGAGTCAGCTAAGTACCTCCCAACACTCGTATTCGGCACATACACGAGCTGGATTTACCTGAGATACCTACAGAGGAAACCCGAAACGAAACTAAGAGGAGATCCCAGCGACGATTTCACATTCTCCAGTTTCTTCCCTGATTTCCTTAGGTACGAATTAGTTCTCACTTTGTGAGCTCATTATTCAAACATCTCGTCTTACACACGGGTTTGCTCTTTGATGCAGACCGGTTATCGACCCAATTGCTTCGATTTTCCATCGGTTACTCTGTGGACGAACTCAAGCCTCCGGTGAGGCGGAGGGTTACACATTGGGAGGTACAGCACTGCCCGGGTCCGACCCCATCGAGGCATCTAGGAGGAGGTAAAAGCGCTTTTCTTTCTTCTGGTTTTGGTTGCTTTGACAGAGCGGGCTTTAAGAATATGTATGCACATTTTTTTTTCGAATTGCAGAGAGAGAGGAGCTAGAGCACTGGAGGAAAGACTGGCCGCTGAGAAATTGGCTGCTGCACGGAGCATGGAGGAGTTGAAAAAGGATGCCCCTGAAGATAATGTGTAGAGTTACCATACCAGACCATGTGATAGAAGAACCGAACTCTCTCTTCTTGTTTTAACTTTGAGAAAGAAAAGAGATCAGATAAGTCGTCTGCCAGATAATGAGATGATATGTGCAGCAGGTTTTGCAGATTCCTAACATGGCCCTCCACTTCCTCATCCATATAAAATACCTTCATTGAAAATTGCAGCAAAATCCCTTGAGATTCTAATCCTCTTGATAACCCACTACATCCAAAACAAGATTACTATAATACCCTAAGTTGCTCCTCTTTAGGGATGGCAATGGGTCGGGTCGGGAACAGATAGTGCATATCCGTTACCCTACCCAAAGTAGTTCGGGTTTTACCTATATCCATATCAACATGCAAAACGGGTAGAAAATTAAAACCATGCCCATACCCATTCGGGTTTCAGGTATCCGCGGTTATCTATGGGTAATGATTTTTCTGCATAACTATAACCAATATGTTAACATTCACACGTATTCTCACATTACGTAAGAAGAAAAGTACGACAATAATTCACTAGAATGAAGAAAATTAATTAAAACAACACAATTTCATGAAAATATTATATTTATATGCTAAATATAAAATATGTTAGAGAAAAAAATGATTATTTCTAGACAGAATACATATGCATGTGTATAATCGGGCGGGTTCGGGTTGGATAGTGAGAAACTCATGCCCACCCATTACCCGCAATATTCGGGTTCGGATTTTACCCATACCCACTAAATGTCCTTCAGGTTCGGGTTCTACCCTACCCGATTAGGCCGGATTCGGGCGGATATCCACGATTACGGATATTTTTGCCATCCCTACTACTGTTAGTTTTTCGTATCCAAAATCCAACTTATTGTGCAGTGTAATTTAATATTATCGATGTGAATTTAAACCATTTAAAATTATCGTTTAATACTGCCAACCGATTTCCTATATATTCGTTTAACTTGTTTCATGCAAATTGCATGTTTAGTAGATTCAAGAACCATCATTTTTCTTTGATTTTCCATGTTTGATATATTATTATGTTCGGCTCCTGTAAACGTTGGATTGTCCTATTGTGCCAAAAAATAATGTACATATTGGTTAGAAATTTAGAATGGCTTTCCGGAAAAAAAAAAAACATCATTCATCATAATTGGTTTTCAATTTAAAGATTGTATATTCTAATTTAACGACAGACTTCAATCTCGCACCGTAAAAAAAATTTCAAGATCAAAGATGAGTGACAACCATAATTTTTTTTTGAAAAGTAACACTAATTAAAAACATCGAGCCGTCGTTAATAAATTGATGGGTGAATGCGATGGTTTATATAGTTAATAGGTTGGCAGTTTTTAACCTCATCATCTCATCTAATCCAAATAACTCTTTTCCCCCTTTAATTTCGTGCTGTGTTTTCTTTAACCAAACAAAAAGCAATCCAAGCCAAAGCCCAAGGAAGAGAGAGAGAGAGAGAGAGGGGCATCCGAATAATCCGCGAGAGAGCCACTTGTATATTCCCTCTTTCTTCTTCTCCTTCTTCTTCTGTTCCCTTCCCCCTTCTCCGACCGTCTTCCTTCCTCCACCCTTTTTTGACCAACCGGAAGTCAACCTCAATTCCTCCCCTTCCCTCCGTCTCCTCCTCCGCCTCCTTCCGCCGCTCAGGTACGCTCTTCCGATCCATCGCCTCCGATTTCCCTGTAATCATCCGTCTCCTTCTGCTACCAATCCTCTCTCTCTCTTCTCCCTTTGTTTCGCCGCTTCCTGTTTGAATTCGCATGTATCATCTATCGCTTTTTCCTGCGTTCATCGCCTTGCTTTTTGCGCTTAATCGGGAGGATATCGTTGGGGCTAAGGCTCGGAGCGTCTGGCGTTCGTTTTGATGAGCTCTGATGCTTCCGATTGCATTAATTTCGCCCGATACTTATGATACAGATCCTACCGTGAGGTTGGGGAAACGCTGGGATTCGGTTTCCGTTCGTCTGTATCTGTGTAGCCGGATAATGGATGCTGATTGCTAAGATGTACATATTTTCGATCCAATTTCGCTTGCGGTAGGGGAGAAGAGAGAAGAAGGGGCGGGGGTTGGGGCTGAAGGAGTTGAGAGTGCGTTAAATTGTTCCGAGTTGATTTCTACCATGATGATTAATGGATTTGGCAATGCGATGAACTGTGTCTAGCTCTCTGTGTGTTTTTGCGAGGGACTTGTGAAGGGCTTGCATGCATGTGCGAATTAGATTGTACCGCGGAGCTGTGAATTCGTGCTAACTGTGAGGCTGGGGACTCGTTGCTTGTGAAGCATTTATGGTAAAAATTTAGGTACAGAAGGAAGAACTATGTGCTGTGGTTAATGCGTTTGTTGTTTGACAGACGGATTAAACTTAGGGCGAAGTTCCTGTTCAAGATATTCTCTCTATGGAATCTAGCTGATTTCCTTACTTGGACGTGTTAAGCTTCTCTGGTTGTAATTCATGCAAGGTGGATGCTATCGCTTCTCTAATTTCATCCAGCAGGATCTAGCGAATGGTTTCTTCCCGAGTCGAACACATTTAGAATCATTCAGGGATCCTTTTTTCAGATTTTTTGAGATTTTATCATTCTGAGCCTTATGGTTCTTGATAAGCTCTGCAAGATAAATAGTCCGAATTCGTTTAGAGTTCTAGCAAACTGTGAAATTTACAATAAATGAATGCTCTGCTCCCAAAGTGTCTCTTCGTTTCTTGCTTTTGAAATACATCAGATATAGGAACATGATTTGGTGATTAGTTGTTGTAATAAAACACGAGGGGACTGAAAAGCATACGAGCCTGCTTCACGAAGCAAATGAATTGGAACTATCAAGTGTGCTATGAATTTCCCCTGGATGCCTCTCTTTATTTCTCTAATTGGACATCCATCTAGAGAGCCTTGACTGTGTCTTTAGAGATCGTCACATCCTAAGATCTTAGTTGTTGATAAGTTTTCATCCTTATGTTTAGTTTATATGTCATGATTAATATAGCAATATTTGTGCATTCAAAGTAACAACAAGCATCATCCTCCATACATGCAATAATTAGCTTTATTATATGGTTTTCCTCTTGCTTGTAGGTTGGATTGCATTGAGCATCAGACTTGAAGACATCAGTTTATGTGAAGGCCAATGGGGGACAGACATTTCTCAAACACATCAAATTTCTTTGAGAGAGATCGGGGGTGGGGCGAAAGAGATGTAGCTGCTGGAAGGTCCTTTTTATATGCAGGTAGTGTACATTTCTCCTCGTCCATTCCTTGTCCAACCTTATTGGCTAATGTCTATTCAATGGGTAGTGCTTTTGGTGGCTAACTTCAATATTATTCCCCCAACTTGAGTGAGATATGGATCAGAATTTGAGAAAACCTGTGATTAGGATAATGCATAGCAGAAAACTTCATTTCCTATGTGGAATTGTGACTGGGTGGATCTGTAACAGTAATGCAGTTACTACTTTGCTGCAAATGTAACCGAATTATGTGGCTTGCATAAATGAGATCATTCATTTAAGATTTACCTATTCAGTATCTGATGTGCTCGGTTAGATTCAGAACTGAAAAGTCAGAAGAGATGCTACTTTTATCACATTTTACCGTGCCCTACAGCTGTTGGATCACTCTTTGCATTTGTCAACATTTACATTGTTGGGCCTTCTGGCATTTCTTCTGTTCTTATTTACTACAATCAACGTCATCGCAGGAAGGGCTGTCACTCCTGAAAGCGTTTCTTATCTATACCCATCTGGTAACATCCTGACAAGTGGACTCAACTGTGCTTCTCAGCACACCTGGGGAAGCGGATCAGTGGAACATTCGTCGACAAATAGGTTAGAAGGTGGTCCTCAAGTTCATGGTCACCATTCTGCCTCGTATGATACCTTGCCTCAGTTTGCAAGTGAGGGAAGCTTTCCCCTAGAACCTGAGGTCAATGCTACTAGTGCCTCCAATCATTACAATGGCCAGATTATGCATGATAACAATGGTGGTTTGGTAGATTATTCGATGACCACAGGGAGGGGCCGTTTCAAAAGGAAAATTCCTAGCTTTATTCCACCCTGCGAATCAGGTAGCACTCCAGTATTTTATGGTGCAGGAAGTTCCTCCTCCCAGCCCAATGGGATTCAGCTGGGTAGTACACCTTTCCCTTCCAACTCGTTTCACTTGCCTCCTCCGCATGGCGGTGGCAGTTTGACAATTGGAGGTGAAGACTCTGGGAGTAACCCGAGAAGCAGAGCTATGGTTGATTCGGAGCCTAACCCAAGGATAAGCTATATTCAAAATTATACCCCTGCGCCAAATGGTTCAACCTCTCACCTGCCGAACCACGGGGCAATAAACATCCATAGTATTAACAGCAATGCACCTGCTTATGGACAGAATCATATTGGCATTTCTCCTCCCGCCCGTGGGGGATTTCAGCAAATATCAGGTTAGCTTAGTATATTTTGATTTCTAATCTTATTTCTTCTTCCCCTGCTGAGTATTTGTAATTATTACAAGTGCAGCAAATAACGCCATGGGCATAGAGATGAATCCATATTATGCTGGAGGGAGTGCAGCAGATGCTAGTAGGTACCAGCACCACCTCCATGAATCCATCTTGAGCAGAAATCCCATATCACCTCCCCAGTACTTTCATGGTCTACATGCCCTTGCTGTAAATGAGGATCATGCTAACTACTTTCAAGGAGCCATACCTTCTTCCCAGAGGACGGATGTAATATCCTTGCACTCGGGGCAAGGAGCAGCAACAGCAGCAATTTCGGGAATGAGTCATCAGCCAGTTGTTCCAGAAAGTTATCCTTCGAGATTTGCAAGACCCTTTTTAGCCAGAGGCTGGCATCACAACAACCATAGGGAAGGAAGGTCCAGCAGGATGCTTGAGAGATTGCACTCACGCACAAATGCTGTGGATGCACAAGACAGAATGGGGGGCGAGGTATGTACTTATTGATTTGCTTCTGCTGTATAGGAAGCAAGATTTAAGCACACGGTCGTGTCCTACATGCTTTCCAGCCTCTTAAGAATTATCTTACTGAAATATATTTCTACAACTGCTATTGGGCCTGATTCTTGCAACTGTCACTTGTGTAAATTTTCAATGGGGATGACTCTAGAATTACTTTCTTGACCACCTTTTATCCACTTCACCGCAGGCTTTCATGATGTTTGATGGCTCACATTTATATGGCTCCAGAAACATGTATGATCAATATGGGGACATGAGGCTAGATGTGGACAACATGAGCTATGAGGTTTGGAATTGACACAATAATTTGTATGCGGTTTTCTTAATGTTTCTCACTTTCTCTTACGGCAAAAAACCTCAATCAACATGCTGTTTTGCAGGAGCTACTTGCCTTAGGAGATAGCATAGGAAACGTCAACACCGGTGTACCTGAAAACATGGTATCGGAATGCTTGTTGGAGAAGAAGTACTCGAGTTCAGACAAAAACCTAGAAGAGAACTGTTCTATCTGCCTTGTAAGTACAATCTTCGCCTAACACGCTGTTTCTTCTTCTCGAGTCCCTCCCCTGACCTGTACTTTCTGGTGGTGGTCTCCGTGTTCACAGGAAGAGTACAAGAAAACGAGCAGGATTGGGAAGTTGAAAAAATGTGGGCACAATTATCACATAGGCTGCATCAAGAAGTGGTTGTCTATGAAGAACTCCTGCCCCATCTGCAAAGGACCAGCAGCCCATCTACCCGGTTCGGATCAAGAATGACATCATGTCCCGGTCTCGTGCAGAGAGAATAATCCTTCTTATCTTAGTAATTGTTTGTAAATATTTTGCACAGACAGATATGGGGATTTGAAAATCAACTCTTTCCTCTCCTCGGTCCATATTTCGATTACATTCTTGAACAGAACAGTATCCCGCTTGTATATGTAGTAGATATGTACTGAAAACGGGTCCGAAAAGTTATTCCAGAGCTTTTTTTAACCTTCTCCTGGGACAACTGCTGCTGCTGCTGCTGTCCAGCAGCCACTAGACCCCAACAAGAAGCATGTTTTTTAGTTGTTGTGTTGATGGCAGTTTATTGTAAGTAAACATGTTTGATTTCCCGTTGTACAAGATAGAAGGGTTCCGCGTTGATATTTGGTAGATGTACAGTGTCTCTCTCTTTTATTTTGTGCAAAATTACAAGCGGGGAGAATGTTGAATCAATTTGCAGGAAACGTAATCGAAAGACGAGACAAGAAGGCACACATGATTTGAAGAATTACAGAATCATTTTCACAAATCAAAATGCTCATCGTAAGTGAGCAGAACCGAGTCTTCGTGGCTTCATTCGTGTGGTTTGCATGGCAGTCTGACAATGCAGGCATCCGCAGCAGATCAGCTGTCGAATGCTTCTCCGGAATAGTATTGCTTGTGAACCATCTTTCTGTAATCTGAAGAAAGATCAAACGTCACAGATAAGATGATAAGCCTAGCACTCTTCCAGCAGGGAATCCATAGGCCAGAAGTTCATCAAGACTTGCCAACAACAACAAGAGAAAGAAAACCAACTAAAGACAGCTGCTTTGGAAGGGTATAGATGTAAAAGAACGTTAGGTAACTTGAACCAAGAAAGTACAGCTAATTCGAAGCTCCCAATTCTATAAGCCAGCAGAGAGAATAAGTTGGTTCCTTTTTCAAAACGTTAATACAAAAAGAAACCAATTTCATGGATATTCATATTAGTATTACACTTCTGTATTACCTTCCTTGTTGTTCAATAGTTTTGCAGCATAGCTGTTCAGAGGGCTATCCGGATTGGGCTCTACATTGAAGGAAACGAAGAATTAGTCAAAAGAAGGATACAAAATGTCCATGACAAAGAAAGGAAAAGCACAAGTTATGGAATCGTTTCGCAAGCATACCACCCAATAGGCTTTGAATCGACAAAAGAATCGTTCTGCAGTCGTAAGCTGAAGACCACTTATCCTATACACAGACAAAAATGGAGGATCTCATCAGTAACAGAGAGATGTAATAGAAGCAGAAAACAAACAGGAGAGAACCAAATGCCAGGAATCGTCTTGGCCAGGTTGGAGTCCAACCGTTGGATTGGGGAAATGGTGGGAAATGATTACCTGGAGAATGTCGAGGCATATGTTACCAAACTGATCAACGTTTGGATGAAAACACATCGTCTCGAATTTCACTTGTGGTGGCTTGAACGGGTACTCGAGAGGAAAACGCAGGGATAGCTTGTAGGACAAACCCTCATACGCAGTTCCTTTCCCGCCCTCAATTGTTCCAACCCATGTGAAGATGCTTTCGCCTTCAGGGAAAGCCGAAACGCCAAGATCCCCTCCGCTCATCTGCGGTTTAAGACAACAAACAAATGTTTCAGAAACACCCTACCTAATCTCCATCGCCATATGAAATTCAGATTCCGACCACGAACACATTCATTCAGTTTGCTAACTCCACACAGTTCTTCACACCATAAGCAAGTCCAAGCTACTCATAGTCATAGTCATAGCCATGTAGACTCAACACTAGGTTGCAACTTATCCTCAGCATAACCGAATTCATCTAGTTCGTTACCAATTTTGCATTAGCAACAAGAACAAGGCATCTATGTGTCCCCGTTTATTTGACACACTTCAACTCACTACTATTTGAAATTAATCAATGGAGACCTTTGTAGTTGCTTGTTGCCAATTGTCAGAGCTGCAAAAGTTAAGAAAAGTAAAGTGCACAGGAGAATTGAAGGGGAAAAGGATTTCTGACATACCATGAGTGACATCAATTCCTTCTGCAACCTGAAACCCCACCAAAAGAAAAGGAACACAAGAAAAAGTCATGAACAGAACCATTCTGCATTCATATTGCATCGACAGTGAAGGGAAAGAAGCAAGATTCCAAATTTATGTTCACCCTCCAACCCCATGCACCCACTTCTTCCCAGAAACCAAACCCACAATTCAGAGGGGAAGAAACCAGAAAAGGAGGGTAGAGGACGACGCGCCAACGCTACTCGAGTCGCCAGAGAAAAGAACAAATAGCAACCATAGAAAACCAAGAAAGAAAGAGAGGCGGAATGGACCTTTGGGACACGGAGGTAGTGTCGACGGAATTGGGAGGAGGGACGGGGGCCTTGGAGCCAGCCGCCGCCTGACGACGGTGCTGCGGGGAGTTATCGGCGGTGGCAGGATTGGGCCTGACCTCCATGACTAGGGAGTTTTCCTTCCTCCGCTGATCCGATGAAGAATTCAAGGATTAGAGACTTGGAGTAAAAGGTAGGAAGTGAAAAAGGTCAGTGAGTGATCGAAATCCAAAGAGAACAGCGAACGCCTATCAATCAATCAATCAATCACACAATGAAACCAGAAATATTATAATCCGAATTTGCATTGCTGACTTATTTTATTTCCCAACATGCTTTTCTTTCTACCTTTCCCTTTTTTTCCTTTATTTTTTAATTCCTTACTATTATGCGGGTCGTACTTGGAGCATTCGAATCGGTTTTGCAAGATACCGGTTAAACTAAGTTCTACCGACCGGCATGCCAGCAACACGACAATAATGGTTTTCATCTTGGTTAATGAGAAACCTAATTCCATGGTATCGGTTAGTTGAATGTAAAAATTCGTGTCTAATAAAATTTATATGAGAAATTTATACAAGTGAGTTTTACAACGTTGAATTGACATTACATATGAGTTGAATTTATTAATGCGACACAATTGAATGTATATATTCGGTTAATAACAGTAATATAAGTAATATGTGGTCGGTTGATACTTGATAGCATTCTTTTTAAGAATGTATCATTTCTAATAAATCAAGAGTGGAAGTAATTGCAAACTGCACTGAAAATTCGGTTCACCAAAACCACATTTGATGAATGAATTTTTTTGATTTGGTTGGTGTTTGACCCGGATTAGTACCGGGGGATTAGTACCGGGGGATTAGTGCGGAACCTTGATCCGGACTCCCTCGTCTGATTTCCTCGGGAGTGGAAGAATCCTGTGGAGAGTCGGGGGGCGACCCCCGTGATCTACACTCCGACGGTCAAGTTAGAATAGGATATATGATAGAATGTAGAGAATGTAGAGAGAGATGAGGTTTAGAGAGAGAACCATAAGTGGTAAAGTGAGGGAAGGGAGAGAAGAAAATCCTTTGCTTGGAGGGTCTGGCCTCCTTATATAGGAGCCGGAGGCATCCTGTGGACGCCTCCCGTTGTCATGGACGCCCCCGGTAGTGGACGCCTCCCGTCGATGGACGCCTTCCGGTGAATGGACGCCTCCCGGTGGTGGACGCCCCCGGGTAGGCTGGAGGCCTCCCGGTGATGGACGCCCCCCGGGTGGACTGGACGCCTCCCGGTGTACTGGACCCTAGAATGGGCTTGGGCCCAAGATGAGACGCTTTGTGGTGGGCTTGGGCCCGTATTAGGCGGGTTAATACTAGACCCAACATTTGCCCCTTTGCTTCTTGTATTCTGTAAGAATGGAAGGAGTAAAATAATGTGTTAAGGTGTATTAACTTGCCTTACTTGCGAGTCCGCACGATGCGGTTTTGCCCCTTGTGCGACCATTGCTCGGTGATGGATGCCCCTGGTGATGGACGCCTCCCGGTGGATGAGACGCCTCTCGGTGATGGACGCATCCGGATGCCTCTCAGTGATGGACGCCCACGAGTGGACTGGACCCTTGCGAGTCCAAACGATGCGGTTTGCCCCTTGTGCGACCATCGTCTTTTGCTTCTTTGTTTAGCATTCGATGTCTTGAGTTAGAGCTCTCAAGTCGTTTGAGATTTCTCCACTGGCCCATTGCGGAGCGTGCTAATATGTAGGCCGTAACTGTGAGTTGTATGCGTTAAGCTGTTGGACCGCGAGATGGGCATGAGCTTGTGTGCATGTTAAGCGTGAGTTGTTGGCTAAATATTAGGCGTTTGCTATGTGCTAGGGAGGGCGGCCCCACGACTTGAGAGTTTTAACTCAAGGCGACGTTTGTGTTTTGAAGATGTCGCGCCTGCTGGGAGGCGGGATCGTGTTAGCTATACCGATGTCGCGCCTACTGGGAAGCGGATTCGGGCTTCTACCTAGAGAGGAAGCATCGCTCAGGAAGCGGGATGCGGTTTTATAATCTGCGAAAGATGTGAGTAACTAGTTCCCAATATACTTAGAGTTTAAATATGAGCATAGGATTTAGTGAGAAATATCATAGTATGATATTAGTGGCGGTCTTCATGGCATAGTATTTGAGTATATCTTAGAAGGAAGTACTTAGCTTGGGAGAAGTTAAAGGGTGGTTAAGTATTGACCGTTGCATGTTTGATCAATGATGTGACCATGCAGCCTACTAGTTTACGCGTCAGCTTGCGGCTGGTTGGTCCTTGGATCGAATCTTGCTGCATGCGTCTCCCCATTCATTTTTAATAAAGTGTGGGTCTTGATGCGAAATGGGCTTGGTTGAAGAATTGATGGGCTTGAATAGAGGCGGCCCATTTTACCCAAGGCGGCCTTGGGAGACCAAGTGCAAAGCGGGCCGGATGTCGTGGGGTTGCCACTGGAAGCTAGATGGGCTTTAGGCGAGCGTGTTGGTGGACGCAAAGCAGGCCTTCGCTGAATGGGCTTGGTTGAAGAATTGATGGGCTTGAATGGAGGCGGCTCATTTTACCCAAGGCGGCCTTGGGAGACCAAGTGCAAAGCGGGCCGGATGTCGTGGGGTTGCCACTGGAAGCTAGATGGGCTTTAGGCGAGCGTGTTGGTGGACGCGAAGCAGGCCTTCGCTGAATGGGTGGAGTCATGAAGGCGAGACGTTGGCTATCTGGTAGTGGAAAACGAGTCTTGGCGGTTTGGAGGTGGACCAGCTCGTAATTGGATACGCAATACGGTTCTGGCATTAATGTTGAATGCGAAACGGGCCGGATGCGGTCTCATTAGGCGGAAGGCGGGCTTAATTGAGGCTTTCCTCAGCCGATCTGGGTTGCGGTCTACGGACGCCCCATTGATGGGCTCAAAGAAATAAGCGGGTCAGCTGGATGTTGTGAGAATTGGAGGCGGGCCCAACAATGATGCTTAGAGGCAGTCCACACTTGCATGGACCGGGACGAGCAGGCTTTCCCTAGCTCAAGGAGGCGGTCTTATAATTGCGTGACCTAGCCGCCTAATACTATAATCTTTCTTTTGTAGGCATCTTTGTTGTGGTAGGCCGCTTTTCATTTCTTTTTGGCAGGGGACGCTTCTTCTCACCTTGGCGGTCATGGCCATCCCTTCCTTCTAAACTGTCAAACTTCCATCGGCGACAGACTGGGTAAATCGTTGCGGGAGACTGGATTCTCTCGGCTTTCTTCTCTGAGGCGTTTCCAGCCCGTCTTTCGCCTCGGGAACTTCGCACGCCTGCCATTTCTGAGTGAGGGAAAGTGCGACTGACACACAGCAGTCTGGGTATTGCAGAGGATTAGAGCAGGCTCGACTTTTGAGTGAGAGAAACGACAGTAATGTTGACTGTTATTGTCGTCTTTGTCTTGAGATGGACAAGAGAAAATCGGTGATGGATTCTTGGGGGTGTTTGTCGATGGGGGTGATGCCGGCGCCGACAGAGATGAGCAAGGGGGCGGCGACTAACAACGACGGCAGGCTGTTCTGGTTGAGTTGAGTGACGGCGACGAGTTGTGAAGTTTGGTTGAGATCTCCTGCTTCTTCTTTCTTTCAATCCTCTGATGGGATTGTCGTTGGCGATTATTGGCTCGCAAGAAAGTAGATTGGAACTTTGAGATGTCTTCCTCGTTTCTAAGGGGGAGTAGGGATCTCCCAAACTTTTTAATTATTTTTTCTCTGTTGGGGGAAGATATTCCCAGATCTACAAATTTGTGAAGCTGCAAGAGCTTGAACTTAATGAGGGAAGTGTCGATTGCTTCCTCCTTTAGAAATCATATGAAAGAATACCGAAATCAGGCCCCACGGTGGGCGCCAAAATGTTTGACCCGGATTAGTACCGGGGGATTAGTGCGGAACCTTGATCCGGACTCCCTCGTCTGATCTCCTCGGGAGTGGAAGAATCCTGTGGAGAGTCGGGGGGCGGCCCCCGTGATCTACACTCCGACGGTCAAGTTAGAATAGGATATATGATAGAGTGTAGAGAATGTAGAGAGAGATAAGCTTTAGAGAGAGAACCATAAGTGGTAAAGTGAGGGAAGGGAGAGAAGAAAATCCTTTGCTTGGAGGGTCTGGCCTCCTTATATAGGAGCCGGAGGCATCCTGTGGACGCCTCCCGTTGTCATGGACGCCCCCGGTAGACTGGACGCCTCCCGTCGATGGCGCCTTCCGGTGAATGGACGCCTCCCGGTGGTGGACGCCCCCGGGTAGGCTGGAGGCCTCCCGATGATGGACGCCCCCCGGGTGGACTGGACGTCTCCCGGTGTACTGGACCCTAGAATGGGCTTGGGCCCAAGGTGAGACGCTTTGTGGTGGGCTTGGGCCCGTATTAGGCGGGTTAATACTAGACCCAACAGTTGGTAAACTTGTGAGTAGTTTTTGTGGCTAACTACTCATTAAAATCATTCATAAAAAATAATAATAATAAAATCACATAACCCACCGACCAACTTTATTTTACATTTTAGTAGTTTTTTTTACAACAATATCAACTTTTATTCCACCTTCGAAAGAAACAATCGAAATTAACGATTGCAGTCTTAAAAGAGATTAGAAATTAAATCAAGAATATTGATCCAGTCATCTGGCAACGTAGATATAGCCTTCGAGCGTGCCACCCAATCAGCTCTGACATTCAGCGTCCTCGACACCTCTTTAACATTAATGACAGAGTTAGTCCTAAGAATAGTGACCATAGAGTTAATCCATGCAGTACACCTCCAGGGCCAACGAGATTGATTATTGTTCAGAGCTTTTACCAAAAGCTTACAAGTCATATTGAACTTTACATTCCGATCCATATTCTTTTGATAATTTTAGACCTTCCAAGAGAGCTTTCGCTTCCGCTTCAATTCGGGGTGGCACAAAGAAGAGTCTCAGCTCGCCTATCACACACTTGTCCATGGTGGCAGGTTAACAACCACAACATCATATGCCGCTGTTTAGGAGTCGCTAAAAAACGACCCATCACAGTGAAGCACTAACGAGTGATTGCTTGGTGGGGGATTCGTAGTATGCTGGGATTAGTAGTTAATGTTAATATACTCAACAACTTTAGGACACTTGTCGAATCTATCTCGCGAAAGAACTCATTCGACTAGTTTCTCAAAATGCATTCATCCTAATACATAACTCCAATTCTAATTGATTCTTATCAAAATTTTGTCCAATTGAATTTTTTTTATCAACATTATTTGTAGCCTAATATTATTTGGACCAAAAGGGGACAAATGATTAACTACCCCATGATCATCTGTTAACTAATAACTGATTATTTACGGGTTAATTGCATGGTTGGTCACTGAGATTACAAAAAACGTTCATGTTTGGTCACTCGAAATATTTAAATCCATTTGTGGTCACTAAAATTAGTAAAACAGTCCAAGTTTAGTCACTCTCCGTTAACACCGTCAGTTATTTTGATGTGGCTAACAAATATGCTGATTCACCCCATTTTAACATGTCACGTCATAAAACCCGACCCGCCATGTCATTAGACCCGCCATGTCAGATTATGATTAATCATTTAAAATGAAAAAAATAAAATAAACCAACACAGATTCCCATCTCTCTGTCTTCTTCTCTCAACCCTTCTCTGATGGAGAGATTTAAAAAAAAATCCCCTCTTTGGTGCAAGAGCTTCTTCTGGATCTTCTCCTTTTTCTTCCCCATCTCTTCATAATTCCATTCCCTAACCACAACTGCCTAAATCATCTATTTCTTTCTCCTTAGAGACCGAAACAGAAAGAAGAACCAAAACCTTCCAGTCTTCCCCCTTCATCTCTCAACCCCCTGTTAAAGCTTCCTCTTCCTGGCTTCCTTCATCCAAACCCCTGCTAAAGCCTCTCACCTGCCTCTTCTTCTACTCTTTGTTGGAAGGAATCTTCTTAATCCCTCTGCCTAAGGGGTAGGTGGGTCAGTTTGATTCAAGGGTTAGGTTAGGATGGACAAAATGATAAGACGGGTCATAGTGACATGGCTGGTTCGGTTTCATTATTTTTTGGTTAAATTAGACTGACAAGACGATATCGTCTGCCACCTCAGCACATAACAGTCTTGGTTAATGGAGACTAACGGAGAGTGACCAAACTTGAACGGTTTTACTAATTTTAGTGCACACAAATGGATTTAAATATTTCGGGTGACTATACATGAACGTTTTTTTTTAATCTCATTGACCAACCATGCAATTAACCCGATTATTTACTAAACATTAATTTGTTGACTAAAGATGTGTAAGCTAAAGCAACATTTGTGTATGAAACAAAATCAAAACCGGGATAAGGTGCATAACCGTTAATTAACCAGCCTTCCTTGCAACTTTTATGGACTGTTTTAACCTAATATCCCTTTCTCTTTGGTACAACAAACAATTGACAATTCTATACAATACATCATGGCTTTCAATTTTATCATCATGTACAACAGAATGTACATTCCATCCATCTCTAATCCAAAAATTACGAAAACTCAGATACCACCGGATTCAGTTCCTCTCTCTCTCTCTATATATATAGCTCTGAATTCTGATCTCTACCCTTTCCTGAAAGTGAAATCCGACAACCCAATGTTCATCTCATGCTGCGTCCTGATCGATCCCGGCCCCGGCGGCAGCCGCATCTCCTCCGCCGCCACCCGCTCTATATTCCTCACCGCCACCACCACATCCTCTCCCCCCTCTTCCTCCTCCAGCTGCAGCTGCTGCGGCGGCTTCTGCTGCCTCAAACTCATGTTGTACTGGAACTGATCCTCTGCCTCCCGGTGCCCGGCGGCGGCGTTGCTGCCGCCGTGACTGCTGAAGTTGTGGTGAGACGGCGAGTTCAGGGCCTCCGGGTCCCACTGATCGGTGTCGAAGTTGGAGTTTCTGGCCGGAGAGTTCATGAGGCTGTCCGGAGCCGTGCTGCTCCGGTAGTTGTGGAGGAGGTGGACAGGGGACATGCCGTGCGTCGGCGTCTGTGGCCGGCTGGAGGTCGGGGTGCCGTGTCGAGTCTGCCTCCTCGCCGTCCGGTGCCAGTTCTTGAGCGCCGTCGCCACCCGGTCGTTGAAGATGGTCGGCCTCATGTTGGAACCCATTTGTGTCACCAGTGCGTACAGCGGCAGGGTCACGTAACTGCAGAGCACCTGGATTATCACCCTGCATAGATTTATCATCACGAATGCAATCAAAATCGCGATTCTACGTGGAAGCATTTTGGTGATCTGAAAAGCGTAAAAGCGTTAGCTTTAAGGTTTAAAGCGTAGATTTTGATCACAATTGTAAGTAAAAAGCATGATTCTATATAAAAGTGTTTTGGTGACTTAGACTCTTGCTTTTGCTTACCCCATGACGACTCGGATGACGATGTCCTCGGTCTTCTCGTGGAAGCAAGTTTTGATACCGAATTCATACTGTGGGAGATTGGAAGCGACGAGATGATTAGAACGTGATTGAGTGATAACAATGAGGGAATTAGTTGTAAGGAGGGGGTTGATTAGTTCTGTTCTAGTTGCTTACCACGCTCCAAATGAAGAAGGCGAGCTGGAATGCGTTCTGGAAGAGGCAGAAATGGATGAGGGAGAGGATGAGGCGAGGGCTGCCGAACCAGAAGAGGTCGTCTCCTGGCTGAACGACAGGGGCGCCTTTAACGACGTCGCCTCTGTCCTGAATTCGGAGTCCCAGCTGGGTTATGATCACTTGAAGCTTTACTCCCACCACCAGGATTATCTGCAGTAGTGTTATAAGTTCCATTCGTTAGTCTTTCTCGATCGCAAGCAATAAACTTGGGGATGGATGGGAAAATGGGTGAAAGAAAGGATGTGCTTACAATTAGTGGAATGAAGGGTAGCCAGAGATAAGCAAACCATCCTGTGAATCACAAAAAGAACACAACTTGTCTTAGTTCTTTGATCCGTGAAATGGGGAAATGAGTTAGCCATAAGAAATTCTGGAAGTTTTGGTCTTACCATGTGTATTGGACATCAGGAATAACACTGCAAAGAACCACAGAACCGGACTGCAGGGGAAGATTAAGATAACACAACAGTTAGTTAGCTAGTTGCCAAGTTGTATAGGCTATAAGGCAAAGGAAGGACCAAGGAGGGTGAAGGAGAGCACAAACCTGATGCCTACAACAACTTTGAAGTCGTCCTCGAGAGATCTGTTGACGTATTTCTGGAAGTCGAATCTGTTCTCACTCCCAGGGGCCAAATGTGCCTGCAATGCAACCAACACCAATGTTTAGTAATCATAGCTACTGCTGGTAAAACTAAGTATACTTCTAGTTTAATAACTGCACAAATTGCTGTTCTTTCATTTTTGACTCACCGCGATAAACCCATGTCTCAGGGTCATGTAATCCACCTTGGTCACTGATCTAAAGAACTGTCTGAAGAAGCAGACCTGTTGTTACAGAATAAGGAAAACCAGGAAGTGGTCAGCCTAGCATTCAAAACCCAGTAATGATTGAACTCGTGTAACCATGGACCGTTGACGGTTATGATACTTACAATCCAGAGAAGAATTGTAGACTTGCTCCAAATTTTCAAGTGGCGACGGCCAAAAGATGTATCCCTTGCAAACCTGAATCTCTCTGGATCTGCACACACAAACAAGATCAGCTACCCCAATCAGCAAGTCGATCGTCAGTAATTTGAATGAAATGATGCTCTTAAGGTAGAATAACGTTTACCATTATGGTACTGATACTCAAGTGTCTTGGTCTCATCCTCCCATTGCCTCCACTTCCTCATCTGCAACATCCAAAAAGTCACTTTTTATTAACCAAAAAGGGTAAAGCAGACGAGAAACCGGAAAAGAAGATAAACCCCAAAACTGGAAAGGCAAAAAAAAAAAGGGAGTTTCATTCACAAAAAGTACCTTGGTTCTTCCCAGGGCATAGGTGAGGATGCAGTAAAGGATGTGGAAAACAGCCAGCACGAAGATAAATATATGCAGCTGATGAATACCATACGCCGACACAAACGCTACTTTTCCCTGAGACATTTCCACAAACACCTCGCCGTCAATAATGTTGATCCCACTAACAGATCAAAACCACAACCAAAAACCAAGAAGGGGGAACTCATTATACCTTTTCAGTGCACTTGTCAACTCCTTTTGTGGCCAAGCTTCGCCTCACAACCACATCAGGATCCAAGAACCCGAGAAGGCGACGGCGGTTGTCCCCTGAATCGGCCGATTTCTCTTCCTTCTTATTGCAAGGATGCCAAGAAGCTCCAATTTTCTGGGAGACGCAAATGCTCGAGATTGGGGTTTGGAACACCGTGAGCAGCAGCGAGAGGAAACCCAGCAGCATCAGCTCCGCCTTCACTTTCTCCAGCGCCTCCACTAGAGCTGGCTTGTGCAGCTTATGCAGCCACTGTGGATTCAAAAGAAACAAAAACCCCCCAAAAGAAGAACAGAATCAGAAGATGGGTTTCAAATACGAGCTGCAAAAAATCCGAAAGCTCGGATCTTTACCTTATGGGCGAGATGGATCAGCTGTTCGATGAAGATGGAAATAACGACCAGCACAAAACACACGGCGGCGACGGCCCACGTCGGCGTCTCCTCCAGAGTCCGCTCCATGTTGCTCCCGTAGGACGACATCTCTCAATCGATCAAAACCCCAGAAGACTGAACTGACAAACAGATTTGCAAAGGCTTGCTCCAGCTCAACTTGAGCTTCGTTCAAATACTGCACACTGAAACAATGGTTGGGAGTAGAGCTTTTTTTTAATACAAGTTGCAGGGATAAGAATGAAAAGAGAGGGACAGAGGGCTGCAAGTTGGTAGCAAATGGATGGGGCGGAGGGAAGTTTATAAACATGGAGGATAAGCAGAGAAGGAAGGGAACGCAGACTTTGACTATTTCAGAGATGAGGGCTGAGAGAAAGAGAGGGGAAGGTCTGGGAAAATGAAGGAATCAAATCTTGTCATCTCTTTCTTTGTCACTCTCTCATTCTAATCGACATTGAATTGAATAGTCTGAAAATGAGTGTCCCCTCCCTCAATAATTCGATCAAACAAGAAGTCCTTTGCAAACCAACCGCAACTAATAGTTAGATCAAACCTAAGTTCGTTGATTGTCTTATCTTGGTTTACTTTTATTTTTGTATCGATTGCGTATATTCTTGTTTGTATTCAAAAATCGTTCGAACAAGATATATTTTCGACTACTACCGAAGAGAAGAGGATTAGTTGTCTTTTCTTTACTATAAGGAACATGAAATGTCAAAGAATCAACATGGTTAACAAGAATGGTGGGGGTTGAGGCCTAAGAAGCAAAGATCTAAAGAAGGGAGACCCACCAATCCTCTAGATTTATTATATAGAATGAAACGATGTCTGTTTTCTTTCTTTGTTTCGGCTGTTGGTTGATTGAAATAGTTTAATGTCCACTGGATTGGGTAGAACTAGAGACAGAATCTGAATGACGACATGAACTTTACAGTTCTGCTATAAACAAAAGTGACAATGGAGTATAGTAGTGAATGATGATCATATCTTTTGGAGAAACAAGACAAGTTGTTAGTGCGGTTGCTGTATTTCTTCTCACTAGGACGAGAAGAAGAAGAAGATGAAAGGAAGTGGGGGAATGATTGGAGGATATGTGCAGTCGATCGGCCAAGCGACCAGACCTTGCCGGCGCTGAAAAGTATACGCCAATAAAGACTGGAAACTGTTGACTTCCATGAGAGAGGAGAATGACCCCAAATTTTTAGGTTTAGAGGAGACTTCGTTCCCACCCGACCCGGTTTATTTTGGGTTTTACACATCTGCTATTACTAGAGGACAAGCTAGTTCACTAGCACTTCAAATGAGACGAGACAAGTCGAATCGAGTTTTGATTTAGGTTGGACTTGACTCGCTAATAAACAAATAGAGTTCGAGCACATCTTGTTAACTAAAACTTTGGTTTGTGTGTGACTCGAACTCGGCTCATTAATGAGCTCACGAGGTTTACTAGAACTCGGCTCATCAATTAGCCACGAGATCGAGTCGAGATAAGGTATCTAATCATTTGGTTTATAATTTTTGATTGTTCATATGATGTTATTTAATAATAATTACTAATTAGTATATGAGCAATCTATGATACATAATTTCTCTTTTAACGTCATTGGCGGATCCAGGGGGTGGCTACCCCGGGCCCCGGCCCAACCCTCTTCTGGATCCGGAGTTAGAATAACCTTTATAAATTTGTCGGTTTTAGTCATTCAACCCAATGTTATTTTATAATATGATTGTGTATAATTAGAAAAATGATTCAGGTGAACATATTCAATTCACTACTCTAAATTTATCCTAGAAATTCTAGCCCCAAAGGTTTTTCGTCTAAAAATCCTAAAGTCTAAAGCGTAAAAGACTAAAAGATATATGAGGTTTGTTCCCTTAAAATTTTACTAGAGCAGCATGGTGGATATAGGGATGGACACACAGTGCAAATTGATTAGTCAATTGATTTGTCTAGTGTTGATGCTTCTCGTTTCAACAGCTACCACGGAGAGAACCTTTTCAACAATGAAACATGTGAAAACTGATTTGCGCAACAAAATGAGCGATGAATTTCTCGCTGATTGCTCAAGTATTTTATTTGAAACATAGTTGGTATGTATGTAGATTTCATTATTGATGCATTCGCTAAATTAAAAGACCGTCGTGTACAATTGACATTGTAAAAAAAAAACTATAATCATAATATTTTTTTACGAAATCGGATTTTCTAATGAAATGCGGCACAATGCTCTACTGTGTTCTGGATTCGCCGTTGTTTAAGTTATAAATGAGACGTATTTTGTCACGTGCTCAATTTCTTAAATATCATATGTGGTGAGATATATATATATATAAAATATAACAAACCTACGAATTATAAACAAGCCAATGATAAGCTATCAACCGATCCGCTCATAAGGTGCTAATTGAGGTGGCTGGCTCAACTCATAGCTCAAAGCTCACGAGTTGAGCTCAACAAACCACGAAAATCGAACTGGCTCATCACTAGCATTGCAAGCCGTACGCGCGAGACTTAGCTCAAACTCGACTCATCAGTAATCAGAACCCAGTGTCAAACGTGAGTTTCTTAAATCGAACGTCAGACGACTCATGAAACAAAACGCGATTAGACAGAGAGGCATTCCTCGTCTTCAGGAACTGGTCTAACTTGTTATTCTAACTAGCTAGTCCATAGAACAATCTGCATGCTATCAGAAAACATCTAATTAAGATGGCGGACTTATTAGTTACAATACAAATTGTGGACAAGGCTGTTTCTACGTACGCTCTTGTCACTATCGGCAACCAGACAAATTAACTTTGATTATTATTCTAAGTAGCAAGAACGTCGATGCTGATTTATCTACTGAACTCAATTAATGCAGCTTAGGAAAAAAATGAATACTACAACAAACACACATGTTTAGGGAGATTGAAAAAGTCGTACAGGGAAACCAATGGATCGACGACGAGGAATCAACATGTCCGCGTGTAAACTCATTCCTTGCACGCAATAAATTATTATATATTTGATTAATTCGTAGGTAAACGTAAATGATTTGGGATTGGGGGACTTTCATGCCAGCTATGAAAAAAAAAAAAAATTTGAAGCACTTGATGATTGCATTTTTAATGTTATTATTATTAACTTATCCGAAAGACTTGGTGATAGGGGTGGCTGTACGGTCCGGTTAAATTGGACCAAATTGATCCGGTCTTAGTCCGGTCTTTTTGGAAATATAAGGACCAAAGATTGGATTGGATACAGTCCGGTCTTGACCCGGTCCGGTCCCAATTTTATCTTGATTTTAGGTGTTGGAGGTCTTTTATCCGGTTTTTTACCTCAAATCTAAGCCCGAATATGAGATTGCATTGTTTGCTATCCGGTCCCAATCCTGTCCCGGTCCGGGTTATACGGTCCGGTTTTGGATAAAACCAAACGGTCCGGGACCAAATAGCCAGCCCTACTTGGTGATGTCACCGAATCTAATGTTCAAAATTGTCCAAAACGGTTTACCACAAACAAACAAAAATTAGATATAGTAAAGTTTTAGCATAAGTTGAAGTTTTGGGTTTGATCGACATGGCTCTATTTTGAGGTCGACAAACAGTTGATCGAATTGACAGCAAGGTGGAGGGAAAAGAAGATAATACAAGTTTGTGTTGACATGCATCAATTATTTTTAAAACCAGCAACTTCAATCCGAATTGTCAAGAATCAGTTGATTCCAATAACTCGCGAGTTGTTGGGAAAGATTCAATCGTGGATCATATATCATTCACTAACGCACCCCCCTCAAACGAAAGCCACTCACCTTATAAGGGCTTTCGTTTGCACAGGTCTGTATATACGATACCATGTGCTTCACAAACGGGGGTCACCGGGATTCGACCACAAGACATTTCGGTCACATAAGGCTCTGATACCATGTCAAGAACCAGTTGATCCCAATAACTCGAGTTGTTGGCAAATATTCAATCGTGGATCATATATCATTCACTAACACGATTTCAATGTCTATATTGTAGACTCCTATTACGTAGTCAGTAGTGTTTCATACCATCCCGTTCTTGCTAACTGAAGAGACGATTTTCAATTTTCTCCGTAGTTATATTTGATCATAGGACGTTAGAAAAGACACCGCACAATTTAGAAAATCGTAAAATTTGAAACGTGCGAGTTGGAAGATTAATGGTGAAAGTAGGACTTAGAATGAGAAGGAGATTAAAGTGTAAAGAAATTATGGTAGCTTTCAATATAGGATAACAAAGTCGGATTCTACAGTAATACTTCTGGTATTGTACATTCATACCATATTAAACCACCGTCAAAACTGGAACTCCCAATTAAAGAAAAAACTCCCAATTCATATCAAACATAAACATCACAGAAACTTAGTTTTTTATTTTTATATTTGTATTTGAGTGATTCTAAATTTCTAGGGTTAATACCTTATTTTGGCCCGAACTATGACCATGTAATCAATTTTGGCCCGTGGTTTTAGAAATTAACATCCTGGTCTCAACTATGCAGCATATAGACTCAATTGGCCCGACACATGGTTTGACCGTCAATTTGTATGGTCAACATCGTTGACCGTTAGTCAACATGCCATAAAATTCAAATATTTTCCTAATTTATATTATTTATCATTTTCAAATTAACCAAAATAAATAAAAATAATTTTATTTTTTTATTTTTTGGGATATTTGAAAATGATAAATTTTATAAATTAACCAAAAATTATCAAATTAAATTTTATAAATTTAAAAAATATGTTATAAATTATATATTTTATTTTTGGGTAATGTTAAATATATAAAATAATTTGATAATTTTCGTTAATTTATAAAATTAATCATTTTCAAATTACACAAAAAATAATTTTTTTATGTTTTTATAATTTTTTAATATGATTATAAATAATAAAAAATAAAAACTTTAGTTTGAATTTGAATTTTTTAATGATTTTTAGGCTGACGAGGCAATGACATGGCATGTTGACTAACAGTCAATGGTGTTGACCATCCAAATTGACAGTCAAACTAGGTGTCGGGCCAATTGAGTCTATATGATACATAGTTGAGGTCAGGATGTTAATTTCTGAAACCACGAGCCAAAGTTGATTATATGGTCATAGTTCAGGCCAAAATAAGGTATTAACCCAAATTTCTTACTATCCCAACTGTACAATTGAAATCATTTTATTCGGTATTGTAGTTAAAATAACTGAATGGTTAAAGGTCGTCCTAACTTAATATGCAATTTACCGAATTGCCCATTTTGAATTTCAGAATCAAACACAAAACAAACAACCCCTCCCCTTCCATAAATCTAAAAAAATATAAACCAAAATCCAACAAATTATCTTATGGACCGAATCATAAATCGTAGTAAAAGAATAGAAAATTATTGATATAAACCAAACAAATCCAAAAAAATTCCGAAACCCCTCAACGAAGCCAATTTTCGGTTGTACCATGGCTCAACCTAAGGCAATTTTCGGTTGTACCATGGACCAACCGAAAATCACCTTCGGTTGCACCATGGCTCAACCTAAGGCAATTTTCGGTTGAGCCATGGTGCAACCGAAGGTGATTTTCGGTTGGTCCATGGTACAACCGAAAATTGCCTTAGGTTGAGCCATGGTACAACCGAAAATTGGCTTCGGTTGAGGGGTTTTGGGTTTTTTTGAAAAAAAATCTGATTTTTACCTCGTCGGAGTCGCTACTCATGATTCGGACGTATTCCCAACGATTATGACTCGAGAATGTCAACGATGAATTCGAGAGTGTGGGAAATTGAGCGTTTTTTCATTTTTTTTAGTTAAAGTGATGTTTGTTTGCTAAAAATGACTAAAGGTTAAAAGCGTAACTTTGTTATTTTTTAGGACGATCAATAGTAATTTTAAGGACCACGTTTATCAATTCCCATAAAATAATATGTATGGGTAAATAATGTAAAAAGGTAGTACACACAATAGTTGACCTGGCAATTTCACAGAGCTCTCTCTCCCTAAGTTCCCCGGCATTGACCGACTTGGGTCTTAGCTAGGGCACCATAAATCAACCAAGTCTAAGGAAAGATAGCTCTACTTTTGTAACGGAGTTTCTATGCTAAAGTCCAATGTGAAAAATACGCTACAAATGCAAGTCTTGAAAGGGTTGATTTTGTACATGTTGCCAAAGTGCACAACCACACAGTTTAAGGGCAATCCAATCTAATTAATAAGCTTGACAAACCAGAAGAATTAGTGCTCCATTCATTCAAATTTGTTGGTCACTGTTGGCAAGCAAATTACGAATTGTTGTCAGTAGATTCAACATGAATCTTTCATAAACTCATAATAGATGTCTAGTAAGAGCAATTAGAACATTTAGAGGTCAGACAAAACATGATTGACGAACAAGTATGTATCCAACTAACACTACACACAATTTAATGTGCGTTTACGTAGGTAGATATACACGTACGCGTGTAATTCGAATATAAACAAA